AGCAGGTCGAGGCTGCGGTGACTGGGAGTGGCCACTGCACTCCAGTCTGGACGACAGAGTGAGACTCCAACTCAAAAACAAACAAACAAACAAAACCCCCCCCAAACCCAAAAAGCCTTGACAACAGAAAATTGACTGACTCAAGAGGCAAGGGTCTTAGAGAGGAAGAGGGTCTCTGGTCTGAGAACACCCGTTGTTCTTCCCGCAAGACCCCCAGGGCCCTGGTCAGAGCAGAAGGTTTTGATGATACCCGGGCAGAAGAGGATCTTTCATCTAGCTCGTTGTTTTTTGAGCCAGTCTCACTCTGCTGCCCAGGTTGGAGCGCAGTGGCAGCACAATCATGGCTCACTGCAGCCTCGACGTCCTGGGCTCAGGCGATCCTACCACCTCAGCCTCCAGAGTAGCTGGGGCTGCAGGAGCACACCACCACACTCGATTAATTTTTGGTTTTTTAATAGAGACAAGGTCTTGCTATGTTGCCCGGGCTACTCTACTTGGGCTCAAGCACTCCTCCCGCCTCAGCCTCCCAGGTGCTGCAATTATAGGCATGAGCCACTGAGCCCGGCCGGGAAAATTCTGAAGGGGCTGACTTCACACCTCCAAAGAGCTCTTAGCATTCTTGGGCCCTCCTGGTCCATTTATTGTTTAAAATTGCCAGCTATTCTGTGGACCCCTTGAATTTCCTCAAGAAAAATGGGATGGTTGGCCGGGCTCGGTGGCTCAGCCTGTCATCCCAGCACTTTGGGAGGCTGAAGCGAGTGGATTGCCTGAGTGGGTTCGAGACCCACCCAGGCAACTTGGCGAGACCTCGTCTCTACAATGAAAAAAGAAAAAAAAAATTAGCCGGGCGTGGTAGCGCACGCCTATAGTTCCAGCTACTTGGAAGGCTGAGGCAGAAGGGATTGCTGGAGCCCAGCAGGTCGAGGCTGCGGTGGCCGCAAGTGCACCATTGCACTCCAGTCTGGGCGACGGAGTGAGACGCCAACTCAAAAAAAAAAGAAAGAAAAGAAAAATGGGATGGCAGCAAGGAGGTCCCTGCTCTTTGTGAAAGTTTCCTTCCTGTGTTCCAGGCCGGAAAGCCAACGAGAAGGAGCGGCAGGCCGCCCTCCAAGTAGCCGAGGGCTTCATCTCCCGCATGCGATATGCCCCAAACACTCAGGTGAGGCTCCCAGGTCCCAAACCTCCTGGGGCTCGTCTTGTGGCTGCTGGGCCCTCAGGCTGGGCCAGGAGGGCAGGGGAGGCTGGGAGCAGTCAGGCCTCGTCAGACGATCCAGTATGGACGCTCTTAGGCCTTCGTGATGAAAGAATGCTTATTATTCTCAGAGAGGATGCTGGGAACGTTCCCCTGGGCACCTGTGGACAGCTCATGCTGGTCCAGGCCGTTGTCTCTGGCTGGCACCACCCTCTAGCACGGTGGCTCCACCAGTCGTTCTGAAGGGAGATGACAAGGCTCATCTTTAGTTGGTGGCATCTGCCCCCAAAAGCAGTGTTTTCTCTGCCCATGTCCCTGGAATCTTGCTTCCAGTTCTTGGCTTACTGGGGGGGAGAAGCACCCTTGACCTGGACTGCATGGAGATGCAGGCTGGGTGCCCAGCACTCCCGTCCCCAGCTCCCACCCTCCCCGACTCCTCCCCACTGTCCTGCAGGTGGAGATTCTGCCCCAGGGCCGTGAGAGTGCCATCTTCAAGCAATTCTTCAAGGACTGGAAATGAGGGTGGGTGCCTCCTGCCTGCTTTCTCCTCTTCTGCTGGTCAGGGCTGTGATGCCCCCTGCAGTTGTTCAATAAAGGAAACGTGCTTTCCCAGCTCTTTTCTGGCACCGCCTGCGCTGGTCTGAGCCTCACTATCCCAGCTGTTCACCTGGGCTCGTCCCATGCTGGTGGAGGACACAGATGACAATTCCATAGCCTCCAAAGGGCCAGAGTGGCTCTGCCTGGTTATGGAGTCCCAGGGGGCTGGAAGGTCCTGCTGTCAACCCAACAGGGAGGTGGCACAGCGCCAGACCCAAGGATCACTTTCAGCCAGGGCTCTTCAGCTCGGTGTTGCGTTCCCATGAGGGAGAAGGTTGTGGCAATGGGCTTAGGATGCAGTTCCGTTTTAAGCCAGTGTTTCCTCAGCTGTCCTAAAAAATCACTGCGAGACAGAGTCAAGGAAAATATGCTCGATGAACAAGAGGACTTTTTTTTTTTGAGATAGGGTCTCACTCTGTCCTCTGGGCTGGAGTGCAGTGGCACGATCACAGCTCACTGCAGCCTCCACTTCCTGGGCTCAGGCGATCCTTTTTCCTCTGCCTCCTGGGTAGCTGGGACTACAGGTGCATGCTACCACACCCAGCTTATTTTTTGTAGAGAAAAGGTTTCGCTACATTGCCCAGGCGTCTCGGACTCCTGCGTTCAAGCAAATCCCCTGCCTCAGCCTCCCAAAGTGCTGGGGTTACAGGTGTGACAAACCGGCCCCAGACAACTTTTCACGACTGTACCAAATCTGGCCTGTCACTGTCGCTTCACAGGCACACGGCGTTGTGTGTGTGGCTGGCGCACCCGGGGCCACTGCAGAGCTACAGGAAAAGCACTGGGCTGGTGTGGGGTCTTGGGTCGAGTTCTCGCCTTGCCTCTGATCCTGGCCAAGTTGCTTTTTCTTGTCTGGACCTTGGCTCATTCTTATGTAATGAGGTGATGGTGACATGTCAGAGTGTAATAGTAGGGAGAAGGCAGTAGCCAAAAAGGAATTCCTTGCGTGACAAAAATGGCATGATGGGGGCAGGAGCAAATCATGAGCCTGTGGAAGGCCGGACCAGGGGGCTGCAAGGGCTGTGGCTGCCCTGACTCGCCCTCACCCATGTCCTGCAGGCTGTGTGGTTTCCGGGCCCTGGAAGTTGGATCTGTCCACTTCAAACAAAAATTCAGACCAAATTTACTTTGCTGGTTTTGTGCCAAGACGCACAGAGGCTCAGCTCCCTTTCCTCTGCAGACTTCCCAGCCTTCCACCTGGTGGTCTACACTGAGAGCAGGTGCCGCAATGGCTTTCAAAAGGAGAGAGAGGGAGGGTTGTACTAAGCCAGCGGTTCTGACATAATCGCAGAGTATTTTATGTCTCTCAAGAAAAAGATTAGGATTTTGCATCTGATTTCAGAGAGTTCAGGCACCCCCCCCCAGGCCATCAACAAAATTCCAGTACGGTGTTATCTCAGGTTCCATCAGGTCTCACTGTGTGAAGCCCTGAGGACTCTGGCATCTGGAGGGCATTTCACTGGGTGTGAAGTGGGAGGAGAGGGCACCCCCGAGGGAGGGGCAGCTTCCCCCAGCTAGAGGCGCCAGGGCCTGGGGCTGAGCATCCATAGTTGGTCTGCCGAGTTAGCCCTGCAGTCTCCCAGCAAGCAGAAGGGACGCGGGGGAAGAACCCCCATCGGCTTTGCTCCCCTGCATCCCAATCTCCAACACACTGTCGTCTTCTTGCTGTCTCTGCTGGTCAGCTGAGGCCAGCCTGGAGGAAGCCATGGGAACCCACCATGAGTTCAGGTCGGGCAAAGACAACACAAGGCCACCTGCAGGGTTTGCTGCCAGCTCCACCCTCGGCATCCGTCCATAGCTCCACTGGAGAGAGTCCAGAGGACAGAAAGTGGCATGCAGGCTCTCGCCTACCCCACTCCCCAGTGCAGGCACCCTGGCCTGGGAGGCCTCTTGTGACGGGGCAACAGGGCCAGGCTTCCCCGTGTGGATGCCTCACCCCTGCCAATCAACCAGAGCCAGGGCTGCCTCGTCCATGGGCTGGAGCTTGCAAGGGGCTTCTGGGCCTGTAAGTGCAGCTGAAGATGGACACTCTGTGAGCCGAGCAGGAGTCTGGCCGGACACAGGCACTCTCCTCTCTCCTGGAGCCCAGGACCAGGCAGAAACCCCGTGGCTTCGGGCCAGCGTGCCTCCAGGCTGACGTGCTGGGCTCTATCCAGGGCCTGGAGCCACAGGGTCGCAGGAAGAAGCATACCTTGGGAGAAAACACCTGCGGGCCTGAAACTAGAGCAATTCTTTATTTAAAAGCTGCTGGTCTGCACACGTCCTCTACGGGAGGATATCCAGCTTGCCGAGGCCTGGGATGGAGCTGCCATGGACAATCCCTAGCCAAGTACCGGTTTCTAGATCATAAGCAACGCAGGGGAGGGGCTGGGGAGAAGAGGGTGGGCTAAGGTAGGGCCTGGAGGATCTGGTGGATGGAGGACAGGAAGCTCTCTTCCCCCCACCCTCACCCCAGCTGAGGCCTCAGGCTGCAAGTCTGAGCTAGGGGTTACCCTCCCCTCTGTTGGCTGCTGCCCTGCTGTCATCCTCTGAATTCTAACTACCCAGGCCTCAAAGCCCTGGGCCGGTGAGTCAGAATTCTGGCTGCCTCTACTCAGGAACTTCCTTCGATGTGGGGTAGTGTGGAACACCCCGATGCGGCTGTCCCACCCTGCCATCCTCTCACTCCCCTTGAGTCAGCCCGGAACTCAGCCCCATAGACTGGAGCCCAGCAGAGACTGAGGCAATTTCTCCTTGCTCTGAGGTAGGTCTGCGGTGGGTGGGCCAAGCCTAGCTGCCTCTGGGGTCTCATGCTGGTGAGAGTACTTGCTTTCTTCAACTAGGCCAGGGGCTTCCTACTGACCACCGGCTGAGACAGAAAGGGGCTTGGCCCAGCCAGGTGCTCCTGACACGGTTTGCCACACTCGGAAAGCCCCTGCGGCTCGGCCTTCAAATATCCCATCAGCCAGTTTCCACATCAGTCAGATGCATCACGTGCCTTCAGAGGGGTGAGACTGCAGGTCACACACACCTGTGAAGGTGAGATCCTTGGAGTGAGGAGCTTGCGGCCCACCGCACTTCTGTGCTCCCAAAAAGGAGGCCTGTCCCTTGGACACCCTGGCCAAGTGGGTCTCCAGGGTCTTCAGCAGCCGCCGTGGACTCTTCTTGGCCAACACTTCCAAGTCTGGAACAGAGAGGGTTGGGGAACAGACGGCATGAGAGGGGGTCTCGTGGCTCTTGCACCAGCCCTGGTGCCCCAGCCCGTCCCAGGGAGGCGTGAAGGGGTCTCCTGCGGTGGCGATATCAACACAGAGGAAGCCGAGGAACCAGTTACAGCCAGCAGGATCACGCCTACCTAGGCTGGGACAACCTCAACCTCGAGGGTCAGTCTGGCTGCTGGCCCCAGCTTACCAGTTCTGATTCAGAAAATATGCTCATGCTAAGTAGAAGGTTCAAAAGAGAGGAGAGTGGAGGCAGAGGTGGCAAAATGCAGAGGGTGGACTGATGGAGATTTGGGAAGCTGGGATTTGAGAAAGTGTGGATGCAGGAGAGGGGGCTTGCAACCAAAACCAGTCTGGCGACCACCTTGGGGTCTCTGAGCCCAGGACACTGTGTTCAGGAGTCTTGTCTTCCCCAAAAGAAAGGGCACACCTTTGAGGACAAAGCCCGCGTCTGAGATGGTCTTCCGCTGCGTCCTCCAGACATGTGCCAGGTGGAGGAATGTGGCAGCGTAAAAGCTGTTCACCACTGGGATGACCTTCTGCTGCCGGTTGCACTCCCTGCAGGACGGGGGACCTGCTCAGCAGCAGACAGAGGCCGGCACCCACACGCCCTCCTGCCCTCCCTCCCCGACCCAGGACGTCCCCATCACTTCTCAGGCCGCCCACATCAGGGGCACAGTGGGGAGGAGAGGTGTGCTGGGAAACCGCCGCAGGGGCCTCTGTCCAGGAGCCAGGGTGAAAGGATGGCTGGGAGAAAGACGCAGGTGCGGAAGAGAGCAGGCTCTATGGGGTCACTCGGGTTGGCCAGCGACTGGGGACTCACCTGGAGAGACACTCCTCCCTCAAGGCCTGGATGGCAATGCGGGTGATGTTCACAGACATCAAGCAGAAAGGGAATTGCTGGAATGGAGGGGGCACCTGGTCAGTGGCAGCCCCAGCACTCACCGTGTGTTTGTTCTGCCGTCGTTGGCAGCCCTAGCAACGCCAGTCCCAGAGCCAGCAGCTGATGTTGCTGTTGCTTACACTTGACTTCCCAACATCTTACAGATAAGGAACAAAGGCTCAGCCTGAAACAACTTTCCTAAGCCAAGGGAACCAGGATTTCAACGGATGCTATCTGCTCCAAAGTGGGTGTGACAGCCCGTGCTAGTTCTCAGCCTCCTCATCAGCCCGGCCCATCAGCTCTCCATGGCTTCACCAGACCCACCCTCCGTGCTGCCAGGGATGGCCCACCTCATCCCCTGGGGCGAGGATGGACACAGGGAAGTGACACTCAGTTCTCCAACAAACTATATGTTCTCAAAGGCGCCTCTCCCCTTCTCTAGGCTTCTGGTCATCTGCTCAGGAGCCCCTCACCCAGTAGCAGACAAAGAAGATGCAGGTAGGCAGGAGGTCAGCCCTGACTTGTGGCATGCCTCGCCTGTCAACAAGAGGCCTGAGGCTGTGCAGAGCTGACTCCTGAGAGTCAGTTACACGTAGCTATTTAAATGGAAATAAATTAGCAAAATGAAAAATTTTGTATTATTGTATTATGATGATGATGTTTTGAGATAGGGTCTCCCTCTGCCGCCCAGGCTGAAGTGCAGTACAGTGATCTCGGCTCACTGCAGCCTTAACAGCCTAGGTTCGGGCGACCCTCCCTCCTCCACTTACTGAGTAGCTGGGACTCCAGGCACACACCACCACGCCTAGCTAAATTTTGCATTTTTTGTAGAGATGAGGCCTTGCTGTGTTGCCTAGGCTGGTCTTGAATTCCTAGACTCAAGCATTCCTCCCACCTCAGCCTCCCTAGGTGCTGGGATTACAGGTGTGAGCCACCAGGCCCCACCAAAGGTCAACTTTAACGCTTTCTTTTTAGATAGGCAAGCTCCTTCCTATTCTTTATAACAATGAAACCAACTAAGCATGACTTCTAAATGAAAAGGGCTTTTTCCAGGGAACATGCGGACATGTTATCTTCCCTTGCTGCATGCACACACGGACATCTGCCGAGAGCCACGCATAGACCAGTGCATTCCTCAGTACAGAACAAGAGCCAGTGTCTGTTTATCCTACCTGTTTCCCACGAGAAGAAAAATCCATTACATTACGGTACAGAACTGTGCTGTCCAGCATGGCAGTGACCAGTTGCATGTAGCTATTTAAATTTAAATGAATTAGCTAAATGAAAAACTCATCTCCTTAGTGGTACTAGCCATATTGCCAGTGCTCAGAAGTCACGTATACTTAGTAGCTACTGTACTGAATGGTGCATTTCCAATATCTAGAACTTTCCATCACTGCAGAAAGTTCTACTGGACAGTGCTGGGCAGAAGTTCTCCTGGCTCTGCAGAGATTTTTCTCAGGGTCTTCCTTGACACCTGGACTCCCGATCTTGGCCCGGCTGCCTACTAGCTGTGTGTCTGAGAAGGCCCTCCAGCCTCTACGAGACTCGGCCTCCCCATCTCTCAAAATCAAAAAGGACTTAAACTTTGAGTGCAGAGCAGAAGAGTTAACACAGCAGGGCTGAGACTGCTACCCTTGGCTAGTCCAGCCTATGAGGTTGGCCCATGGCTGGCATTGGAGGGGGAGGGGTTCCACCATTCTCGAGCTGACAGTGATGGCTCACTGTTCCTGAACTGCATGGACAAACAAGATGGCTTATGCCGAACACCTGCTTTCCCTGTGATTCTGGAATCTGGGTACACGTGAGGTAGAGCATGCCTATGTGACCAGCCCCAATGAAAACCTTGAGTCCTGCATCTCTACGAGCTTCCCAGATAGGCAACATCGTACGCATGTGGGACCATGTGATGCTGGAGGAACGAAGTGTGCTCTGCGTGATTCCAGATGCATCTTGGACACATGTGGCTCCCTGTGGCCCACGTACTTCTTCCCTTTGCTGACTGCGCTTCTGCTCTACTAAATCAGGGCTGTAAGTACAACCAGACGTCGAGTCCTGTGAGTCTCCCAGCAGGTCATGGAACCTGGGGGTGGTCTCGAGGTCACAGCACTAGTGCCATGCTGGGTGGAGTCAAGTCACTAATCACCACAAAAACTCTACGAGATAGGGTTTATCACAATTTATACTTTATCTGACTACCAACTGCACAGAGTTGCTGTGAGCACTGGTTAATTAAGATCACATATGCAAAATACTAGGCATGGTGCAGGGCCCAAGTAGGTATTACAAAAGCTCATCCTGGTTGGGCAGTGACGCACACCTATTATCCCAGCACTTTGGGAGGCTGAGGTAAGTGGATTGCCTGAACCAGCGGGTCCGAGACCCACCCGGGCAACTTGGCAAGACCTCATCTCTACAATAAATCAAAAATTAGCTGGGCATGGTGGTGCACGCCTGTAGTTCTGGCTACTTGGAAGGCTGAGGCAGAAGGATCGCTGGAGCTCAGCAGGCCAAGGCTGTGGTGGCCAGGAGTGGCCACTGCACTCCAGTCTGAGTGACAGAGTGACACTCCAACTCAAAAAAAAAGGAATTCACCTTACTAATGGCTGGATGTACGTGAGCATGCTACTACACTCTAGTCTGGGCAACAGAGTAAGACTCTGACTCAGAAAAAAAAGTTACTTTGATAACCAACACCCACTGAGTGCTTAATGTACCTGGTACTTTAGGTTACTTTACAACTTGGGACAACTAAAGTTAGAATTACTTTCCATATAATAATGTAAGAAGCAGAAGTTCTGAGAGTTAAGTAATTTGGCCAGTAAGACTGTTTTTGCAAGATGGGTTTTGCAACTCGGGTCTGCCTGGCTCCAGGCTTCTAAGCTAAAATGATCTGAGTAAAATGTTGTAGACATAAGCTTGTAGTCATTCATTCTCTTACTCCTTTCCCCAGACAGCTCAAAGCACACCCTCCTTTCTACTGTCTGTGAAGTGCCACTGGGTTACTGGGGCTGGTCTGCTCATCTCAGCATCCAAGAGTGAGCCAGCAACACAGACATACATTTCAAGCTCTTTCCAGTGAGACCTCAATAGCAGTGAGCACACCTAATGCTTGGATGTTGGTTTCTAAATATCATTCTCCAAAGTTGGGTGTGGTGGCACGCACTTTAGTTCCAGCTACTTGGGAGACTGAGGCAAGAGGATCACTTGAGGAGATCCAGACCAGCTTGGGTAACAGTGAGAGTATGCCTTAAAAATACAAATTAGAGCCATTGCCTTGCAGGACTCTGGTGTGGCCATATGCTCTTTGAGCTATGGCTGTCACCATGCTTCCTGGCTTTGGCCCCTCCTCCACCTCAGGGAGGTGAATCTTCTTTTTCCCTTCTCTAATTTACTTTTAAATAAACTTTTCTTTCTTAAAAAAAAATACAAATTAAATACCATTCTCCAGTTAAAGGAACAAGAGTACCTTGAAGAAGTAGTCGATTCCGGGTCAGGCTGGGTGGCTAAGCCTGTCATCCCAGCACCTTGGGAGGCCAAGGTGAGTGGATTGCCTGAGTCTGCCTGTTCGAGACCAGCCCGAGCAACTTGGTGAGACCTCGTCTCTACAATAAAATAAGAAATAGCTGAGTGTGGTAGTGTGCGTCTGTAGTTCCAGGCTACTTGGAAGGCTGAGGTGGAAAGATCGCTGGAGCCCATAAAGTTGACGCTGGGGTGGCTGTGAGTGTGCATGCCACTGCACTCCAGCCTGGGCGAAGGAGTGAGACTCCCAACTCCAAAAAAAAAAAAAAAAAAGTAGTAGTTGATTCCAGAGCTGGGACTCACACAGAGAAGTCACGAGATGAGCTTAGAACATCACTTGATGCCCAAAGTTAAAAGGTGCTCAAAAAAAAAAAAGAGAGATGTGGGCACATTTAAAGGGCAGTTTCCAACCTGTAAAAGCTCTTAAAATGGCCAAACCTGGAATAAATGAGCAACAAAATAAATAAGGATAGGGTTGGGTTATAACCCATAAAATAAAATAAGCATCCATGAGTCTACACTGATATAAAAAGTAACTGAGGCTGGGCATAGTGGCTGGTCTTGAACTCCTGAGCTCAGGCAATCCTCTCACCTCAGTCTCCCAAAGTGCTGGGATTACAGGCGTGAGCCACTGGGCCCAGCCATCAATCTAATCTTGGAAAAATATCAGACAGATGCAAATTGAGAAACATTCTACAAAATAACTGACCAGCCCTTTCCAGTAGTGTCAAGATCATGAAATACAAAGAAAAACTGGAGAAATGTTTACGCATTGGAAGAGACTAAGGAGACATGAAAACTAAATGCAGGAGCAGGACAAAACGAAAGTGGGGAAAAAAAAAACTGAACTCTGAAGGCCATAGCAAATTAATAGGATAGTGCCAATGTTAGTTATTGAGTTTTGAAAACTGTACTAGGCTATGCAAGATTATTATTATTGTTTTTTGAGTTGGAGTCTCACTCTGTCACCCTGACTGGAGTGCAGTGGCACGCTCCCGGCCACCGCAGGCTTAACCTGCTGGGCTCTGGCGATCCTTCCTCCTCAGTCTTTCAAGTAGCTGGAACTACAGGCGCACGCGACCACGACCAACTAATTTTTGATTTATTGTGGAGATGAGGTCTCGCCAAGTTGCCCAGGTGGGTCTCGAACCCGCGGGCTCAGGCAATTCACTCACCTGTCTCCCAAAGCGCAGGATTACAGGCTGAGCCACTGAGCCTGGCTTATGCAAGATTATTATTAGAGGAAGCTGAATGGAAGATATATGGGAACTCTCTGCTCTACTTTTGCAGCTTTTCTGTAGACCCAGAATTATTTCTTTATTATTATTATTAATTTATTTATTTCTTGAGTCAGAGTCTCACTCTGTCACCCAGACTGGACTGCAGTGGCATGCTCACGGCCATTGCAGCCTCAACCTGCTGGGCTCAGGCAATCCCTCTGTCTCAGCCTTCCAAGCAGGTGGAACCACAGGCATGCACTACCATGCCTGGCTAATTTTTAAATTTACTGTAGAGACAAGGTCTTGCCAAGTTGCTCAGACTGGTCTCGAATCCATGGGCTCAGCCAATCCTCTCACCTCAGCCTCCCAAAGTACTGGGATTACAGGCATGAGCCACCATGCCCGACTAAACCCATAATTATTTCAAAATATAAAGTTAAAAAGTAGACCAGCACATTGGCAAATGTTATGCCTCTCTAAGGTGGTCTGACCCATTAGTAAGGGGTAAAGGTGGGTCCCTACCCATCCTTTCCTTCCTTCCAACACTTGGCTCCATTGTTCCCGCTAATTTTTTTTTTTTTTTGAGTTGGAGTCTCACTCCTTCACCCAGGCTGGAGGATGGTGGCACACACGCTTGCAGCCTCCCCAGCATTGACCTGCTGGGCTCCGGCGATCCTTCCACCTCAGCCTTCCAAAGAGCTGGAATTACAGGGGTGTGCTACCACGCCTAATTTTTTTTGGATTTATTGTAGAGATGAGGTTGTGCCAAGTTGCCCAGGCTGGTCTCGAACCCGCGGGCTCAGGCAATCCACTCGCCTTGGCCTCCCGAAGGGCTAGGACAACAGGAAGAGCCACAAGCCCGGTCTGTTACCACTACTGATCTTGAATGTATCAGGGATACTTCCATGCTGTTCCTTGTCTCTCTTAATGGACTCCTACACCAGACACACAGGTCACGACTGGCTTCCTGCACTCCAAGTCCCACGAAGCTCTGCATAATCCTCAGTCTGTCCCTGTCTTTCACCCTTCCCCAACTCTCGAAACCCTGCCACTGTGCCTCTGGCACAATGATGGTGCTCACTGTACAATGCTCCTGCACAATGAAACGAATGCCATTGCCAGCAAATGTCCCTTTAAACAAATATGCAACCTATTCTAGGACCTGACTCTCCGATGAGGACACAGCTTCCCTGCAGCATGGTCCAGCACCGGTGGTTTTTGTGCCCACAGCCCTTCTGTCCCTGGGGTTGTAGGTGGGGCAGACAGCCTTCTGGTGCCTCCAGACCATTCTTCCCACAAGTCTCTAGCTCTGAGTTTCAGGGCATCAGGTTAAATCACCCACTTGTGAATTTTCTGAACATTTGAAATTACATGAAAAGAAAAACCACCAAAAAATGCCCTTCCCGTCAGCAACTACCCCATTTTTTTGTTTTCCATTGCAACACAACTTCTTGAAGACGGTCTCCATGCTTGCAGTCTCCAGTTCACCCCTCACATTCCCTCTTAAACCCAATCTGCATCAGGGTTTTTGTCTCTGCACTCTTCAGGACCCAGCAGTGAGGCATCTGGCCGTTTTGAGACCCAACCTCCCTCATCTCTCAGCACCATGTGCCCTGGTGGGTCTCGGCCTGCTCTACAAGCTTTCCTTGGCTTCCAGATCTCCCCACTTGCCTGGGTTCTCCGAGCTTTCCTTCCCCTTCATTTCCCTGCCTTCTTATGGCGAAATGGCTCAGTCGATACCTATTAGGCTATTCCCTTGGAAATCTCATTCCAGTTTCAGGACTTTAAAATGTGATCTCTCCTGTAATCCCGTGCTTTGGGAGGCTGAGGTGAGTGAATTGTCTGAGCTCGCGGGTTCAAGACCCACCTGGGCAACTTGGCAAGACCTCATCTCTACAATAAATAAAAAATCAGTTGGGCGTGGTAGCACACGCCTGTAGTTCCTGCTACTTGGAAGGCTGAGGTGGAAGGATCGCCGGAACCCAGCAGGTTGAGGCTGCGGTGGCCGGGAGCGGCCACTACACTCCAGTCAGGGTGACAGAGTGAGACTCCAACTCAAAAAATACAAAAATAAAAAAATAAAATGTGATCTCTGTAGTTCCAGCTACTTGGAAGGTCGAGGTAGAAGGGTCACCTGAGCTAAGCAGGTCGAGGCTGTGGTGGCCATAAGCGTGCACTGCACTTTAGCCTGGGTGACAGAGTAAAACTTCAATTAAAAAAAAAAACCAAAAAACATACATATATATATATGATCTCTTCCAGTGGTTCTCAGCATCCCCTGGAGGGCTTGTCAAAACACAGATTTCTGGGTCCTACCTACAGTTTCTGTTTTATGAGGTCTGGGAAGGGGCCCCAGAATTTGCATTTCTTTTACTTTAATTTTCTTTGAGAGACAGAGTCTCTGTTGCCCAGCCTGGAGTTCAGTGGTGTAATCATAGCTCACTGCAACCTCGAATTCTTGGGTTCAAGTGATCCTCCTGCCTTAGCTTCTCGAGTGGCTGGGATTAGTTGTAAACTACCTCACTCAGCTAGAATTTGCATTCCTAACAAGTTCCCAGGTGATGCTATGCTCCTGGACCGAGGATGACATCTTTAGAGCCACTAATCTATCTGTTGACAACTCCCACGTTTTAATCTCTAGCCCTGATCTTTCTCTCTAATTCCACACTCACAGTCAATTGCCTATCAACATCTCCACTAGGAAGTTAAAATATACTTGCCAAAACTGAACCCCAAACTTGCTTGCCCTCAATTTCAGTTGATGCCAACTCTGTTCAGTTGATGCCAACTCTGTTCTGCTTAGTCTGAAAAATCATCGACTCCTTCCTTTTTCGTTTTCATTCTTGTTTTCTTGTTTTTCTTTTTTTGGAGTCAGAGTCTCACTCTGTCACCCAGGCTAGAATGCAGTGGTATGCTAATGGCTACTGCAGCCTCAACCTGCTGGGCTCAGGTGATCCTCCTGCCTCAGCATTCCAAGGAGCTGGAACCACAGGCATGTACCACCATGCCCAGCTAATTTTTAAAAAAATTTATTGTAGAGACTAAGTCTCGCCATGTTTCTCAGGCTGGTCTCGAACACTGGAGCTCAGGCAATCCTCTCACCTCCACCTCTCAAAGTGCTGGGATTACAGGCACCAACCACCATGCTTGGCTCCTTCCTTTTTCTTAAACCCACATCTAAGACACTGGCAAATCATGTTGGCTCTACTCTCTTAAGCCTGTACACTTGAGACTACATCCAGAATCTGACCACTCTGCATCACCTCCTCTGAAAACATGCTGATCCAAACCACCTCAACTTGGAATATGACAATAGCCCTCAGTGAAAACTATTCTTTTTGTTTTGTTTTATTTGCATTAATTTTTTTATTTTAGAGACAATGTCTCAGTATGTTGCCCAGGCTGGTCTCAAACGCCTGGTCTCAAGATCTTCTTGCCTCAGCCTCCCAAAGTGCTGGGATTACATGCATGAGCCACCATGCCCTGTCACCTAGGCTGAAGTGCAGTGGCATGCTCATCACCACCATAGCCTCGACCCACAGGGCTCAGGCAATCCTTCCACCTCACCCTTCCAAGTCGCTGGAACTCCAGGCACATGCCACCACTACTAGTTAATTATTTTTTTTAAACTTATGGTACAGACAAGGTCTTGCCAAGTTGCCCAGGCTGGTCTCAAACCCGTGGGCTCAGGCAATCCTCTCGCCTCCATCTCTCAAAGTGCTGAGATTACAGGTGCGAGCCATCATACCCAGCCTTACAATTTTTAGTGGGTCCGAGGTTAATCCCATGGGATAAACAGATGGTAGGAGACAGGTCAAATTTGTCTTTCTAAAAAGGAGGGACTACCATCTTTAATAGCTTGGAAAAACCATAAAAGCCAACCCCAGAAAGCAGGTCTGGACAGAGCCTGAAGTGCTACTGGCCCGTCCGTACATGCCATGGAGGCCAAACTCCTCTCAGGCACATGAAGGCTGACTTTCCTCCAGCAGGATCAGGAGAAGTTACGAGCAGTATGCCAGGGCCATCCTCAGGGAGAACAGCGAACGGGAAGAGGCACATCATAGCCGAGCCTGGTGCTACAGCACATTATTCCATGTAATTTTCCCCATGAGCCAGCTGAAGTGGCTGTGATTTCTACCATGTAGATGAGGAAAGCAAGGCTCCCAGGAATTGTAGAACTTGCCTGGGACACACAGCTGAGGAGCGGTGGGGCTCAGATTCTAACGCAGGTCAGACCGACAGGGAAGCCCATGCCTGCTTTGTCCTGAGAGCCCTCTGCCACGGGCGATAACCCCTAGAAGTCCTCCTGGCATCTCAGGTCCTAGCTCCACAGCCCTTGCTTCCCACCAAAGGCCCACCTGGACATGATGACGAGACAGGCGGAAAATCTCCCGTGCCATCAGCAAGGTCTTCGAGTCCATCACCAGGTAGAGCAGATGCAGGAGGGCAAGGAAGCCTGCGCCTCTCAGGTCCGTGGCTGGGTTCACTCCTGCACAGAAGTGAGGAAACATGATGTGACCGTGAGCATGCTTCATGAAGCCCCCACTTCCTTGAACTTCAAGGGCTCGGTGTGGGAAGGCGCCATGACACTGGCCTCTTCCCAGGATTAGAATAGCATGGCGAGCACAGGTTTGCTTCCTGCCACACTCCTGGATCGGCTCCACCGAGTCGAGAGGAAATGTCAGTGCCCTGGGTGGGGGAAGCCTCCCTCATCAGCTTTCTCGCTGCTGCCTGTGACATCCTCAGTAGTCATTTCTCCACTCAACAACCAGAGCGACCCTTCACAACAAAGGCCGAACTTCTGGTTCTGGGGGGATGAAGCGAGGCACTTCTGTCTATCCCTGCCACAGAGTACAGCTCAAAGTCCTGGACATTCACATGTGAAACAAGCGTAAGAAGACTCTCTGCAAGGCAGAGAAGAGACAGGCTGGCTAGGACGCTGGAGAGTGGAGAAATGGCACCGTGGTTTCTTTTCACCTGACATATCCTAACTGGGTGCTGGAGAAGGCAGCTGCCCAGAAACACCAGTGGAAGCAGACCAGAAAAGCCCCAAGAAAAGCTGCCCTCTCTAGTCAGAGGGGTGGGAGTGGGACAGCCTAGCAAGGTAGAAAGCTTGAGCCAATATCCACCCTACTCCAGCCAAACACAGAGAAAAATGTAGCCCCCTCCCACACCTCCCCAGTAAAGGCCAAGTGGGGAGCCTAGAATTCCATACTTGCCTGATGGAACAAGGTGCCCCTTAGCTCCCCAGGGTAGCAGGGAAGGCTGAGTAGGGAGCTGGAGCTTGAGCCTTTCCAGTGGTAAGGAGCCCCCTCACCCCGCTACCATATCAGCAGAAGCCACACGGGAACAGTAGTGAGGCATCCCTGTCTTGCCAGCCAGTGGTATCAGCACAGGCCAAGTGGGAGACCTGGACTTCCAGCCCCACCTGCAGTAATGAGGTGACGTCCATTCTTCCCCTGCTAATGCAGTATCTGAGGAGGCCTACTAAAGCAGAAGGCTTAAATGAGATCCAGATTCTCCTAACAGACCAACCACAACACCCAGAATACAGCAGAAAACCCACTTGTTACACCAAGAACCAGGAAAATATACATTTGAACGAGAGAAAACAATCAACAGACACCAACACTGAGAGAACACAGATGCTGGAATTATCTGACAAGGACTGGAAAGCACTTGTGGTAGGCAGAATAACTGCCCCGGCACTGAGATGTCCACTAACCCCTAGAACCTCTGAATATGTCACATTACGTTTCATGGCAAAGAGATTAAGACTGCAGGTAGGATTAAGGCTGCTGATCAGCAGAAAGGGAGGTTACCTATGTTGTTCGGGTGAGCACAATGTAATCAGAGGGTCCTTAAAAGTGGAAGAGGGAGGAGGAAACACACAGCCAGAAAAGGAGATGTACGGATGGAATGAGGCTCAGAGAGTGCCATTTCTGGCTTTAGATGGAGGCACTGAGGCGAACTCTAGAAGCTGGAAAAGATAAATAAACGGATTCATCCAAAAAGGATGGAGTGCTGCCGACACTTGGTGTTGAACACAGTTGCCAGTGAGACCTGAGTCAGACTTCCAAGCTACAAAAACCGTAACATAATACATAAGTGTGTTTTTTTAAGTCGCTACATTTGTGGTAATTTCTTATAGCAACAATAGAAACTGCAACTGGCCGGGCTTGATGGCTCAGCCTGTAATCCCACACCTTTGGGAGGCTGAGGTGAGTGGATTGCCCGAGCCCACGGGTTCGAGACCCACCTGGGCAACTTGGCAAGACCTCATCTCTACAATAAATCAAAAAACCAGCTGGGCGTGGTAGCGTGGGCCTGTAATTCCGGCTACTTGGAAGGCTGAGGCGGAAGGATCGCCGGAGCCCAGCAGGTCGAGGCTGCGGTGGCCGGGAGCGGCCACTGCACTCCAGTCTGGGTGACAGAGTGAGACTCCAACTCAAAAAAAAAAAAGAAAAAAAGAAACTACAACTGGGCTGGGCATGGTGCCTCAAGCCTGTAATCACAGCATTTGGGAAGCCGAGGTGAGAGGGCTGTCTGAGCCCAGGGGTTTGAGAGCAGCCTGGGCAACTTGGCAAGACCTCATCTCTACAGTAAATCAAAAAATTAGACAGGCATGGTAGTGTGTGCCTGTAGTTCCAGCTACTTGGAAGGCTGAGGTGGAAGGATTGCCTGAGCCCAGCAGGTTGAGGCTGTGGTGGCTGAGAGCATGCCACTGTACTCTACTAGCCTGGGTGACAGAGTGAGACTCCAATTCAAAAAAAAAAAAAGAAGAAAGAAACTACAACATCTCTTATAAAATGCCTTTGATAAACAATTATGTACAAATACACTGTGAAAAAAAATTTTTTCGTCTCAGTAGAAAAAAAAAGCAGATATAAAGAACCAACTGGAAACATTAAAACTGAAAAATATAACTAAAACTAAAAACTCACTGGATAGGCTTAACAGGAGAAAGGGAAAAACAGAAAAAATAATCAGTGTATTTGAAGGTAGAACAATAGAAATTACTCAATCTGAACAACAGAAGGAGAGGAAAAAAAAAACCCCAAAAACAAAATGAACAGAGCTATGGAGATCTATGAGGCTATAACAAAGGTTTTAAAAAATGAACAAAGGCCGGACTCAGTGGCTCAGCCTGTAATCCCGTGCCTTTGGGAGGCTGAGATGAGTGGATTGCCTGAGCCCACGGGTTCAAGACCCGCCTGGGCAGCAGGACCTCATCTCTACAATAAATCAAAAAATCAGCCAGGTGTGGTAGCGCATACCTGTAATTCTGGCTACTCGGAAGGCTGAGGCGGAAGGATCGCCGGAGCCCAGCAGGTCGAGGCTGCGGTGGCTGGGAGCAGCCACTGCACTCCAGTCTGGGCGACAGAGTGAGACTCCAACTCAAAAAAAAAGAACAAAGATCCAGCATTTGTATCATCGGAGTCCCACAAGACAGGAGAAAGTATAGGACTGAAGAAAGTATTTGAAGGAATCATAGCTGAAAATTTATGGAACTTGGCATAAGATACAAACCTACAGATTCAAGAAGCTGAACTGCCAGGTGCAGTGGCTCACACCCAACAGTTTGTGAAGCCAAGGTGAGAGGATTGCTTGAGCCCAGGGGTTTGAGACCAGCCTGGGCAACTTGGCGGGGCCTCTTCTCTACAATAAATTAAAAAATCAGTTGGGTGTGATAGCATGTGCCTGTAGTTTCAGCAGCTTAGAAAGCTGAAGTGAAAGGATCACCTGAGCCTAGCAGGGCTGTGGTGGCTGTTGGTGTGCCACTGCACTCCAGCCTGGGTGACAGAGTAAGACTCCGAATCAAAAAAAAAAGAAGCCAAATTAACCTCAAAGCAGATAAGCCCAAGAAATCCACACACTGACACATCACAGTCGAACTGAAAACTGAAGACAGAGGAAGGTTCTTGAAAGCAGAAAGACAGAGGAAGGTTCTTGAAAGCAGAAAGAGAACAACTCCTTACCTACAAGGGGGACAGAATTCAAACGACAGCAGACTTCTCATTGGAAACCACACAGGCCAGAAGGAAGTAGCACATGTTGAAGTGCTGAAAGAAAAGAACTGTCAACCTGGAATTTTATATCCAGAAAATTCAGGAGTGAAGGGGAAATCAAGACATTCTCAAATGAAGAAAAACTAACACTTTACGGCTAGCAGACCTACCCTAAGTGAATAACTAAAGGAAGTTCTTGAAATGGGAAATGATCAAAAAGGAACCCTACGGCCAGGTGCAGTGGCTCATGCCTGTAATCCCAGCTATTTGGGAGGCTGAAGGAGGAGGATTGCTTACGCACAGGAGTTCAAGACCAGCCTGGGCAACATAGTAAGACCTTGTCTCTACAGTAAAAAATAAAAAAATTAATTAGGCTTGGTGGCTTGTGCCTGTATTCCCAGCTACTTGGGAGGCTGAGGTGGAAGGATTGCCAGAACCCAGGAGACAGAGGCTGCAGTGAGCTGTGATCGTGCCACTGCACTCCAGCCTGGGCAACAGAGTGAGACCCTGACTCAAAAAAAAGAAAAGAAAAGAAAAGAAGAGAGAGAGAAAACACCTTGGAATGTCAGGGAGGAAGAAAGACCAATGGAAAGAGTATATATGACAAACTTTCTTTTTCTTGCTGAGCTTTAAAAACTATGTTTGATGGTTGAAACAAAAATTATAACATTGACATGATTTTCAGTATACAGAGAGGATACAATTAAGACAATTACATTATTATAGATGAGGAACAGTACAAGGACTTAAATGCACTGCCTGTACCAACAGATTACCAACTAATTATGGGTACATGAAATTTCCTCTTAGCCGGACTCGGTGGCTAAATTTCCTTTTAGCACGGGCTCCCGTGCCTTGGGAGGCTGAGATGAGTGAATTGCCTGAGCCTGCGGGTTGGAGACCCGCCTGGGCAGCGAGACCTCATCTCTACAATAAATCAAAAAATCAGCCGGGCATGGTAGCGCATGCCTGTAATTCCGGCTACTTGGAAGGCTGAGGGGGAAGGATCGCCAGAGCCCAGCAGGTCGAGGCTGCGGTGGCCAGGAGCGGCCACTGCACTCCAGTCTGGGTGACAGAGTGAGACTCCAACTCAAAAAACAAAAAACAAAATTTCCTTTTAAGCTGGGCTCGGTGACTCAGCCTGTAATCCCAGTGCTTTGGGAGGCTGAGGTGAGTGGACTGCCTGAGCCTGCGGGTTCAAGATCCGCCTGGGCAACTTGGCAAGAACTCATCTCTACAATAAATAAAAAATTAGCCAGGTGTGGTAGCGCACACCTGTAGTTCCAGCTACCTGGAAGGCTGAGGCGGAAGGATCGCTGGCACCCAGCAGGTCGAGGCTGCAGTGATTGTGAGTGGCCACTGCACTCCAGTCTGGGAGACAGAGTGTGACTCCAACTCAAAAAAAAAAAAAATTTCCTTTTAAAATTAAGCTATTGGCTGGGCATAGAGGCTCAAACCTATAATCTCAGCACTTTGGGATGCCGAGGCAAGAGGACTGCCTGAGTCCAGGGGTTCGAGACCAGTCCGGGCAACTTGGTGAGCCCTCGTCTCTATAATAAAATAAAAAACAGCTGGGCGTGGAAGCGTTCATCTGTAGTTCCAGCTACTTGGAAGACTGAGGTGGAAGGATCATCTGAACCCAGTGGGTCGAGGCTGCAACAGCCGTGAACATTCCACTGCACTCCAGCCTGGGGGACAGAGTGAGACTCCAATGAAATGAAATGAAATGAAATGAATGAAATGAGGCCGGGCTTGGTGAGTCAGACTGTAATACCAGCAGTTTGGGAGGCCCTGCGGGTTCAAGACCCACCTGGGCAACTTGGCGAGCCCTCGTGTCTACAATAAATAAAAAACTAGCTGGGCATGGCAGCATGTGCCTGTAGTTCTGGCTACTTGAAAGGCTGAGGCAGAAGCGTGCCACTGGACTCCAGTCTGGGCGACAGAGTGAGAGTCCAACTCAAAACAAACAAACAAACAAATAAATAAATAAAATGAAATGAAATAAAGTAAATAAAATAAAATAAAGCCATCTTCCTATTCTATACAAATATAGATTGATATGACTTTGAAAATAAATAGCATAATCCAAAAACAGGTGAAATCATTTTGTTTCACTAAAATATAAAAATAACAAAATCATCAATATTTTTAAAAAAGAAGAAAAAACCCAAACAAACCAGATTCTAAAGCACATTACTCCAACATTTTCCATGTAACTTAGAGTAAACATTTTACAAAGACCTGCGAGGCCATCAAGTGATCTTTTCTCCTGTCACTTTCGTCTCCATCTCAACCTTGCTATTTTCAAACAGAGCAAGCAAGCTCCACCTCAGGGCCTTTGTACTTGCTGCAGCCCCTGGAATGTGTTCCACAAGATATCCCACCTTACAGCAGTGGCATGGATGGACAGGACAGCCTGGCACCTCACTCTAGGCCGGGAATCTGTGGCAAGAAAAACAAGACGAGCTACTCCTCCCTCTTACCCTGAAAGCCCAGGTCCTCCCAGTGCTCTCCAAGGAGTGCGCAGTTAAACCTGGAACCGGTCAGTTTCTTGTAGATGGTCTGCAGGACTCGGCCATGTATTGGGTCTTGGCTATCCAGGCCACCTGTCACAAAACACACTCATGTTCTCTGCTGGACTGCCCCTTGGGGGAGGACTGGGTGCTTCTCAGAGAATGTTAGATCTGGACTGTGCTCGAGACACTGTTCTCAGTTCCCACTCCCACACACCCACATGGTACATGCAAGACCCCTGGCTTAGTCCCAGCAGGGGTGGGCAAACAGTGCTCTCTGCCTGATGACAAAAGCAGCATCTCCCCATGGCAGTCCCCATGCACTCACACTGAGCAATGGTCAGGACCAAGTCCCTTTCTTCCTGAAGGCCCTGGTGGAGCTTTGGAGGCCCGAAGAGGTAGTGCCGGAGGGCGGCGAGCCCAGTCCTTCGAACAGTCGGCTGGATTCTTTGCTGGGAAGAAAGTTGCAGGCAATGGGCAGAGTGCTAGGTTCACCTGCCTTAATGAGCCATCAGGCTCAAACTAGAAGCAGTTCTTGCAGAAAGAAGTAGCTTCTTGGTTATCTGGCTGGTCTTTGGGCCGGGGAAAGGAGGCAGAAGTGGTGAATCACTTATGGAGTCTCTGGAGACAGGTTCTTCCAGCTCCCAGGTTTTTTGCAAGGAAAAATAGATGTCCCCAAGCGTAGGCATTATTAGCCAGTCCTTTGCACTTGGTCCTTTGGGCTTTTCCAGAACTAGCTATTCCACTGACTCCCACGGGGACTAGAGATGCCCAGCTGTGGGGACTCCCCCATGCAGGCAGACAAATGCCAGGCCAGGTTTCCCAGCAGGGCTGCTTCTGCCCTTTGAACGTGTGTATGCACGCACGCATGTGTACAGGATATAAATTACAAAATCTAGCACTCCTGTTAACTTCTAGAACGAGAGAGAGAGTGAGGAGGGAGTTTAGTGAGAACTCACTGGAGTCAGATGCCTCTGAGGGGCAGTTGCAGTCTTCTGGCCCCAACCAGTACTTCCTTTTTTTTTTGAGTTGGAGTCTCACTCTGTCGCCCAGACTGGAGTGCAGTGGCCGCTCCCAGCCACCATAGCCTTTTCCTGCTGGGGCTCCGGCGATCCTTCTGCCTCAGCCTTCCAAGTAGCTGGAATTACAGGCGCGCACTACCACGCCCGGCTAATTTTTTTGATTTATTGTAGAGATGAGGTCTCACCAAGTTGCCCAGGCGGGTCTCGAACCCGCGGGCTCAGGCAATCCACTCACCTTAGCCTCTTAAGGCGTGGGATTACAGGCTGAGCCACCAAGCCCAACCAGTACTTCCTAAATTAAGTCATGCTAGCTTCTCATGGCTCAGGGCCACTGCTGTGGGCCTTAACCTATTCTGATTTTGGTAGCTTCTGGCTCTCTGGGTCCTAACAACTAACCTGATTCCTACCTTTTCAGCCTCTTTCTCCTGAGCCAGGTTTTCAGTTGAAGACCTGAAATCACATTCCTCTAAACTTACTCAAGATGTCCCAGAAAGCCCCCTAGCATTTACTTCCTCAAATAGGCCTCCTTTTTCCCACTCCATATCTTTCTTCTTTTTCTGAGTTGGAGTCTCACTCTGTTGCCTAGGGTGGAGTGCAGTGGCATACTAATGGCCACCGTAGTCTCAACCTACTGGACTCAGTCATGTGCCACATGCCCGGCTAATTTTTGGATTTATTGTAGAGACGAGGTCTCGCCAAGTTGCCCAGGTTGGTCTCGAACCCGTGGGCTCAGACAATCCTCTCACCCTGGCCTCCCAAAGTGCTGGGATTATAGGCGTGAGCCGCCGTGCCTGGCCCACATCTCTCTTAAATACCCAAAGAGCTTTTGGGTCCAAGAGGGAACAGAAAATTTTCCTCCACTGGCCATGGATTACTCAGCTACTTGGATGGTTTCTTGCCTCCCCAAAGAGCTACCAAGTACTTGACTTGAGACCTACCCATTCCTAAAGGGGAAGAGAGGACCAGCAATATGGCTCCTGAATGACAGGGTCACAGAGCTTTAGGGCACAGCCCTATCAAGGCTGCCAGAGTCCTGCATGATGCATGGGTCCCAGTCATCCATGACGCAGTACCCCAAGATCTTAGGTAAGATAAGGCCCCCAACTGGAAGCTTCCATCTTTTTTTTTTTTTGAGTTGGAGTCTCACTCTGTTGCCCACCCAGACTGGAGTGCAGTGGCCACTCCCGGTCACCGCAGCCTCGACCTGCTGGGCTCTGGTGATCCTTCCACCTCAGCCTTCCAAGTAGCTGGAACTACAGGTGCGCACTACCATGCCTGGCTAATTTTTGATTTATTGTAGAGATGCGGTCTCACCAACTTGCCCAGGCGGGTCTCGAACCCGCGGGCTCAGGCAATCCACTCACCTCAGCCTCCCAAAGCGCTGGGATTACAGGCTGAGCAACCGAGCGCGGCGGAAGCTTCCATCTTGCTTATCCAGTGCCCTATCCTGGTGGGATGGAAACCCGACTCCTGGGAAAAGGGTGCTGTACTTGAGACCCTAACCTCCTTACCATCATACCTTGAAGGAGGAGAGGTCCACAGTCTGGAAATGCTGCAGGGCCTCACTGAAGGAGATCAGCTGCCCAGGCTGCTCTGAGCTGGCCCGGCTCCCTGTGGCAAAAGCAAAGACACTCCAGGATTTGTGCCACAGTCATTCTGTCAGCAAACATTTACTGGGGGCCTCCTGGTGGTTACCTCTAAGCCAAGCACTCACTGGTTTCCAGCTGAAGGTCAGACACCTACAGCTGTGACGATCCTCTTTCAAGGGAATGGATGGCATTACCTTCTGGGCAGACTCTCTTTTAGGACTAAGCTACTCGGGCTTGCTAGGCTGACCTCAGCAGCGAGTATGAGATAGATCTGCCTTGTCAGGGTCTCCCTAAATTCTCTCATCTTCAAGGAGGCAAGTCACTGCCTGGAGTAGGTACCCACGTAGGAGCATGCCACCAGTCTGTCTAGGGGCCTTTCTAATTTCCACTTGGCCCCTTCTCACACCCTGTACAGGACCCCCTCCATATCCTCTGTTATAGCCCAAAGGCAATTAACTTATTAATTAGCAATACAGGTGATGGCTGGTACTGTTCCCCGTCACATTGCTCCCGGAGCTCCAGCAAGGCGCAGGCTAGACACAGGTCCTAGTTCTCTCCTCCTGTAGCTCTATCCAAACCTCTCAGAAAGAGACAAGGGACAACTTCTACCCAGCCTTCAGAGCCTTCCAGCAAATGGCTTTGGCCCCCATCCCCAGGGACCTCCTTGTGCAGCGAACAGCCTGCCGAGCCTTATGCGGGGCCTGAGCGGCCTGTCTCCATCTCCTGCCCAATCTCGTCACCCTGCAGAGGCTGACCCTGACCAAGGTCCTCCCTGTCTTCTCTCAGGGCCAGGTAGAAGATGAGCAGGGATGGCAGCTCTTTCCCCGTGGAGTTCATTCCCATTTCCTCCAGAGGCAGGGAGTCATCATCTTTGGATTTGGAAAATGAGAAACCTCAGGAACTCAGTCTCCTGACCCCAGAGTCACAGACACACTAGCCACACATGTGGATGGTGCCTCGGCTGGCAGCAGGGCTGTGTGGAGACAGCGCCATCCTTCAGTTACCTGTCTCCGGCTGGATGGTGTCCACAGCTTCCCATTCTTCTTGAGCTCTGAGCACCTCTGCCCTCACGACTGCAATTGTGAGAAAAGGAACCATCTGAGATCTGGGTATGTCTGGAGCTCTATGGCAGACCCCGGCCCTGTCCGCCTGCCTTGGGTCTTGGCGTTCTTCGATCTCCTCTTCACATGCTTGCCAGAGTGGGCTTTTGAAAAGGCAGATCTGATGTCACTTGCCTGCTCAAAACCCTCCAGGGATTCTCCACAACCCTCAAGATATAACCCACACTCATAGCATAGCATCTAAGTACCTTGGCAATCTACAGATGGTCTCCCACCTAAGTGGTTCCACTTATGATCATTCAACTTCATGATGGGTTTTTTTTTTTTGAGTTGGAGTCTCACTCTATCACCCAGACTGGAGTGCAGTGGCCGCTCCTGGCCACCACAGCCTCGACCTGCTGGGCCCTGGCGATCCTTCTGTCTCAGCCCTCCAAGTAGCTGGAACTACAGGTGCGTGCTACCACACCAGGCTAATTTTTTTTATTTATTGTAGAGATGAGGTCTCATCAAGTTGCCCAGGCGGGTCTCGAATCCACTCACCTCAGTCTCCCAAGGTGTGGGATTACAGGCTGAGCCACCGAGCCGGCACATGATGGGTTTAGTGGTATATTAAAGGCATTTTCAGCCGGGCTTAGTGGCTCTCCCTATCATTCCAGCACTTTGGTAGGCTGAGGCAAGTGAATTGCCTGAACCCACGGATCTGAGACCAGTCCCAGCTAGTTACTGAGACCTCGTCTCTACAACAAATAAAAAATTAGCTGGGTGTGATAGCGCTTGTCTATAGTTCCTGCTACTTGGAAGGCTGAGGCAGAAGGATTGCTGGAGCCCAGCAGGTTGATGCTAGTGGCCGTGAGCATGCCACGGCACTCCTGCCTGGGCGACAGAGAGAGACTCCAACTCAAAAAAAAAAGGGCATTTTCGACTTACGATACTTTCAATGTGCACCGGGTTCATCAGGACATGACCTCATAATGACTCAAGCAGCACTTATAAATCCTCCTTCCCTCTAGTTTTGCCCTAGGGCCATCCGGAAGTAACTGAAGCTCCTGACATGCCCTGCCCCCCCCATCCTCAGTGCCTTTGCACAGACCGCTCTCCCTCTGCTGAAGTCAGGACTCAGGTATTGCCCCCTCCGGCTCTGACCCCTGCCATGCAGCTCCTTCTCAGCCTCAGTTAACTCTGACGTCACCCTCACCTGGATGCCTTCCTTGACCTCAACAGTCTGGATCAGGAGTCAATCCTCCGTGAGACCCTGAGACCTAGTGCTTGTCACGGTGTGGTAACTGTCTCTCCCACTACACTGTGAGCTTCATGAAGGCAAGGTCCTCCAGAGTCTAGCGCAGAGTCTCACACATGATGGAGCTCAACAAATGTTTGATGAATGAATGAAAGCACAATAAAAGGAGGAAAAGGCAGGAGAAAAACAAAGCACAGGATAGGCTCTCTAGAGCCACACCGCTCCGACCTATTCTCCAAACCACAGCTGTTACTCTCTGGCCCAAATTGCTAGTGGCATTTTCTGTCACTGACTTTCCCAGTTGGCCAGAGGACACCAACAAACAATGTGAAGGATGGAGAGACTGCCGTTTACTTATTTATTTATTTTTTGAGTTGGAGTCTCACTCTGTCGCCCAGATTGGAGTGCAGTGGCACACTCCTGGCTACCGCAGCCTTGACCTGCTGGGCTCCGGCAATTCTTCTGCCTCAGTCTTCCAAGTAGCCGGAACTACAGGTGTGCACTACCATGCTCAGCTAATTTTTTATTTATTGTAGAGACAAAATCTTGCCAAGTTGCCCGGGTGCGTCTTGAACCTGCAGGTTCAAAAATCCACTCACCTCGGCCTCCCAAAGTGCTGAGATGACAGGCTGAGCCACTGAGCCCGGCCGAGATGTCAGTTTAATACCAAAAGTATGGTCTTTCCAGTCTACTAAGGTAAAAGTAGGTCAGTGCCTTACAACCCAGACAAAAAACACCACATAACAATAAACTGTTGGAAGAAGAAACCCACAGAGTAAGTCAAAAGCTACCAAAACCAGACAGAGAATGAGGAGGGGAAAATGGCCAGGCAGCAGTAGAGGACAGTGGCTGAAAGCACCCTCGAGAGCCAAACTGCTGTCAATGTTTCATCACTGCCACTTTCTGGCTTCATTTCTTTGGACAAGTGGCTCAACCATCTGTAACGCCCTTGGGACGGGTGTGAGCATGAGTTTATTCCTCAACCTCCTAGGAAAGTGTGTGGCCCAAGGGTAAGCTGTGACTGTCGACCCAGCTGTGGGCTCAGGTACAGCAACACAGTGGACAGTAACAGCAGGTGAGATAGGTCCAGGGTCCTCAGTGTGTGGCCCTCGAGGAGATTCCATCTTGCCAACTGCCGTCTGAGTCTCAGGGCTTCCAAGCTAGACAACTCTGATTAACACTTAACCTTGGACGATTGAAAAACAAAGGCCACTTTCAGCATGGGAGCTGAAAAGGCGGGACACAGCAGCTGAATACAAAGAGAAGAGTGGAAACAGTCGCAAGGAATGGCCGGCCCTCCGCCCCTCACCTCATGCAGCTTTAGCAATTCTCCAGCCTTCAGAGCCTCAAGTTTGAGCAACCTAGCCTCTCTCTACCCACCCCCCACCTGCTGTACACCCTCACCTATCAACAGCCCAAGTAAAGTCTGCAAGCCAGGAGCAGAAACCACAGTGGCAAGGGGTGGGAAAGTGCTATCATAATAGGTTAGTCAACGGAAAGTACAAGGTTTCAACCAGCAAGGTCATGCTGGCTGAGCGTGGACGAATCCCCAAGCCACGTAAGAGCTTCTCTTCCTTTCCTCTTAGAATCAGGCAGGCACCTCAGATCCCTGAAGGTGATCCTGACATAAATACTCCTCTGACCACAAGAAGAACATGAGGCAGAGGACAAATTTTCAGGATAATTAACGCAGCTCACATTAGTATAGTTCTTTATTATTTCTCCTTTTTAAAAATTGTCTCTTTTTGGCTCTCTTTCACTTGCTCATGTAGTAAACAGTCTGCTGGTTTAGTCAGACTATTAACTGAAATTAACTGAGAGCAATCTGAAAAAAGAATTATAACTGTTTAATATGATTTTAAAAATCTGGCACAAAAATGCCAACTGTATCCCAGTATAAGATATTTTGGCATTTAGCCAGGCATGGTGGCTAAGGCCTGTAATCTCAGCGCTTTAGGAGGTCAAGGCGGGAGGACCATTTAAGGTCAGGGTTTTTTTTTTTTTTGAGTTGGAGTCTCACTCTGTCGCCCAGACTGGAGTGCAGTGGCCGCTCCTGGCCACCGCAGCCTCGACCTGCTGGGCTCTGGAGATCCTTCCACCTTAGCCTTCCAAGTAGCAGGAACTACAGGCGCGTGCTACCACGCCCGGCTAATTTTTGATTTATTGTAGAGATGAGGTCTCACCAAGTTGCCCAGGCGGGTCTTGAACCCGCGGGCTCAGGCAATCCACTCACCTCGGCCTCCCAAAGTGCTGGGATTACATGCTGAGCCACCGAGCCCGGCCAAGAGGCCAGGAGTTTGAGACTAGCCAAGGCAAAATAGCAAGACCTATCTCCACAAAAAAAATTTTTTTTTTTTTGAGTTGGAGTCTCACTCTGTCACCCAGACTGGAGTACAGTGGCACGCTTCCGGCCACCGCAGCCTCGACCTGCTGGGCTCCAGCGATCCTTCCACCTCAGCCTTTCAAGTAGCCAGAACTACAGTTGCACGCTACCATGCCCAGCTAATTTTTTGATTTATTGTAGAGATGAGATCTTGCCACGTTGCCCAGGTGGGCTCAGGCAATCCACTCACCTCAGCCTCCCAAAGCGTGGGATTACAGGCTGAGCCACTGAGCCTGGCTCTACAGAATTTTTAAAAAATGAGTTGGGTATACTGGCATGTGCCTGTAGTCCCAGCTACTCAAGTCCTGAGGCAAGAGGGATAATTTGAGCTCAGAAGCTCAAAGCTACAGTGAGTTATGATCCTGCCACTGCACGCCAACCTGTCTGACACAGCAAGACTCTGTCCCTAAAAAAATATATATTTTGGCGTTTACGGTAAACATTATTAATGTATTAATGTTATGTATTAATGTTGGTTTTGTCATAGTATAGTAAAGACAAAATTTCAATAAGAGAAACCTCATAGATATCCAAATAATGTTTCTACATTAGAGTGTTTTTTAGCCAGGTATAGTGGTGCATGCCTATAACCCCAGCTATTCAGAAGGCTGAGGTGGGAGGATCACTTGCACCCAGGAATTTAAGGCTGCAGTCAGTATGGTCATACCACTGCACTCCAGCCTGGGCAACAGAGACCTTATCATCTTATCACTAAAAAAAAAAAAAAAAAAAAGAAAGAAAGAAAGAAAGAAAAAAGAAATAATATATATGTATTTTTATTTATTATTATTATTTTTTGAGTTAGAGTCTTACTCCGTTGCCTAGGCTGGAGTGCAGTGGCACGCTCACAGCCACCAAAGCGTTGACCTGTTGGGCTCCAGCAATCCTTCTATCTCAGACTTCCAAGCAGCCAGAATGACAGGCCCGCACCACCATGCCTGGCTAATTTTTGATTTATTGTAGAGACGAAGTCTCGCCAAGTTGCCCATGTTGGTCTCAAACCCGCGGGCTCAGGCTATCCTCTCGCCTTGGCCTCCTAAAGTGCTGTGATTATAGGCATGAGCCACCATGCCTGGCCTACAAATATTTTTTAAAAGCTCCATCATTCTGGGCCAGGCAAAGTGGTTCACACCTGTAATCCCAGCCCTTTGGGAAGCTTCGGCAGGAGGACTGCCTGACCCCTGGGCAACATGGTGAGACCTTGTCTCTAGCATAACTCAAGAAAAATTAGCAAGGTGTGGGAGCACATGCCAGTAGTCCCAGCAACTTGGAGGGCTGAGGTGAAAAAAATCACCTGAGCCCAGCTGGTTGAGGCTGCGGTGGCTATGATAGTACCACTGCACTCTTGCCTGGGTGAAAGAGGGACTCAAAAAAATAAATAAATAGTCTGGGCTTGGTGGCTTAGCCTGTAATCCCAGCACTTTGGGAGGCCAAGGCAAGTAGACTGCCTGAGTCTGTGGGTTCCAGACTAGAATGGGCAACTTGGTGGGACCTTGTCTCTACAATAAATCAAAAAATTAGCTGGGCATGGTAGCGTGTGCTGGTAGTTCCAGCTCCTTGGAAGGCTGAGGTGGAAGGATCGCTGGAGCCCAGCAGGTCGACGCTGGGGTAGCTGTGAGTGTGCCACTGCAGTCAAGCCTAGGCGATGGAGTGAGACTCTAACTAAAAAAAAACAAAAATAATAAATAAATAAATAAACAAACAAATAAAAGCTCCATGTTTTTGGAGGTTATATTTTCAGCGTGTAGGATTTTAAAACAACAATACACACCAAAAGGCACTCCCTTTGATTTATATTTTGTATAAGTACTTTATATTATTTCATTTAATCCTTACAAAATTCCCATTATACAGGTTCTGATATAATCTCTACACAAGGAAGGACCATGCTGTTTTTTTTTTTGAGTCGGAGTCTCACTCTGTCACCCAGACTGGAGTGCAGTGGCATGCTCATGGTCATCAAAGTCTCGACCTGTTGGGCTCAGGCTATCCTCCCGCCTCAGTCTTCCAAGTAGCCGGAACTACAGGCGCATGCCACCACACCCAGCTAGTTTTTCTTGATTTATTGTAGAGACAAGGTCTCACCAAGTTGCCCAGGCTGGTCTCAAACCCCTGGGCTCAGGCAATCCTCTGGCCTCGGCCTCCCACAGTGCTGGGATGACAGGCATGAGCCACCGTGCCCAGCCTAGCACCATGTTTTATAGATGAGGAAAATGACAGTGAGAAAGTCTAAGTAACTTGCTCAAGGTCATGAATAGGCAGGTAAGAGAGCCAAGATTTAAACGAGACATCTGACTGGCGAACTGGTGCTTCTGACTTGGTGAATGTACCTTTCTCCATAATCAACTGGCGGGCAGAGTGAAATTTATTATTTTTTGAGTCAAGGTCTCATTCTGTCACCCAGGCTGGAGTACAGTGGCATGAACATGGCTCACCACAGCCTCCCTAGGAGCCAGGACTACAGGTACGCACCACCATGTCTGCCTAATTAAAAAAAATTTTTTTTTAGAGAGAGAGTCTTGCTATGTTGCCTAGGCTGGTCTCAAACTCCTGGGCTCAAGCAATCCTCCCACTGTGGCCTCCCAACATGTTGGAATTATAGGCGTGAGCCACCATGCCCAGCAAGCTTTAAATATAGTATGAGGAAGCACTATGTAAAGCGGATAAAGCAGGTTACTTTTTCAAAGCTTTTCCCCACACAGACTCACTTTCATAACATCCCTTTGAGGATACGGGAGATATTATTTCCACTGTAGACAAAGAGAGCATATGACTTGCCCAGAGGCATACAGTAAACCACTAGCAGAGAGAGATCAGATCTCAGGTCTTTTGACTCCCAATCCCGTGTTGATTCTCATTTTCCTTGAGGAATGATAGATCTACAAAATCCTGAAGGACAAGGAGTGAGAGAAACTCAAATGCCGAAAAGCAGACTCATGGGAAGGTCTGACATGGGTCCCACCCAGACTCTAAGGACCTTACCATGTGGCTCCCATCCAGTAGCTTCTGTGGCCAGAGCCTGGAGGATGCTGTGGTTCTTCAGCTCTGCGATCTGTAGGGGCAGATGGCCTGTGTATGAGGATGAAATCCGTGTCCCATTCACAAAACATTTCCCATCCACTGTGCTGAATGTCCTTGAAATTGAGGCCAGAAGGATCTAGTTTGCCCTGATGTGTTGACCGAAGTCCATTTTAAAGAGAGGTATCTGAAAAACTTCAGCTATGATGTGGAAGTTGGGTGATGTGGGGGACAAGTATATGCCCACCTTGAATAGTAAATAAAACTCACTTGGCACTGTGGGTACCTTTGGGATTCCCACTGTATTTTATACTCCATTACAGCAATTATCTTATTAGATAGAGGTCGTTGTACATGTTTGTACCCCACACTCTCTCCTCCCAAGTGTGAGCTTCTAGAAGCTAGGATCTATGCCATCCCTGTGTCCCCAATGCCTAGCACAGTGCCCGGCACCACACAGTAGCACACAACAAAAGTCTGCGTTGGCAGAAGGTACCGTGGTGTGGGTGATACATACAGGAATTCCTCTGAAAGCTGACAGAGCACTGTTCTCCTTGTCAGATGATGGAGAGTACTCAACAGACACCCCTTCACCCTGTAAGACAGACCAGGGTCAGTCTACCAGACACATATTAATCTCCAAAACATGAGAGTTTAAATGTCATACCTTTTTCCAGTATCACCAAAAAAAAAAAAAAAAAGAGGATAAACTCCAGAGATTTCACTTACAAGGAATTCTGTAAAAAAATTTGTTTAATCTGGTCTTAAGAAAAACTGCAAAAGCTTAGTTGATGTTATCTCAAAAAATTGTATATAGATTTCCTGGCTCTTTAAAGGTCTCAGGGCTCTGAATAAGTGAAGTTCAGTGAGGCAGTTTCCTCTGGCTTTTCTTTTCTTTTTTTTTTTTTTTTTTTGAGTTGGAGTCTCACTCTGTCACCCATACTGGAGTGCAGTGGCCGCTCCCAGTCACCGCAGCCTCGACCTGCTGGGTTCCGGCAATCCTTCCGCCTCAGCCTTCCGAGTAGCTGGAACTACAGGCGCGCACGCTACCACGCCTGGCTAATTTTTTGATCTGTTGTAGAGATGAGGTCTCACCAAGTTGCCCAGGTGGGTCTCGAACTCGCAGGCTCAGGCGATTCACTCACCTCAGCCTCCCAAGGCGCGGGATTACAGGCGGAGCCACTGAGCCCGGTTTCCACTGGCTTTTCTTTCAGCCAAACCTATTCTCTACTAGAGTTAAAACAGCAACAACAACACTTCACCAATTGTTTGAAACTCGTATCACACACACAGGGCTAATCTTCCCATATGTTTTTTTTTTTTAAATCCTAAAAATCATTAGGGGAAAAAAGAAAACCTAACCCAGTAGAAACATGGGCAAAAACAATTTACACAAAAGAAAACACAAATTTGGTCCTAAATATATGAATAAATGCTCAACCCCACTCTTTTTTTTTTTTTGAGTCTTACTCTGTCGCCCAGGCTAGAGTGCAGTGGCATGCTCACGGCCACTGCAATCTCAATCTGCTGGGCTCAGGGGTCCTTCTGCCTCAGCCTTCCAAGTAGCTGGAACTACAGCCATGCACCACCATGCCCAGCTAATTTTTTGATTTATTGTAGAGATGAGGTCTCACCATGTTGCCCAGGCTGGTTTGGAACTCATGGGCTCAAGTAATACTCTCGCCTCCGCCTCCCAAAGTGGTAGGATTACAGGCGTGAGCCACTGTGCATGGCTCAACCTCACTCTTAAGAGATGCCAAATAAAACTATTTTGAGATAATACATTTCATCTGTCAGATTAATGGTCAAAAAGTCTGACAAAGCTAGAGTGCAAAGTGTTACACAACACACTGGAGAGTAAATTGTTATCGCCTCCACACCTTGATAATAACTTGCAAAGTCATACATGTTTTGTACATTTGTTAATGGGTGTGAGAAACATAAAATAAATATTAGAGATGGTCCCTATGTACATTTGGGGCTTGACACTGAATTCTTGTAATATATTTTTTTTTTGAGTTGGAGTCTCACTCTGTCGCCCAGCCTGGAGTGCAGTGGCCGCTCCTGGCCACCGCAGCCTCGACCTGCTGGGCTCCGGCGATCCTTCTGCCTCAGCCTTCCAAGTAGCTGGATACAGGCACGTGCTACCACACCCGGCTAATTTTTTTGATTTATTGTAGAAATGAGGTCTTGCCTAGTTGCCCAGGCAGGTCTCGAACCCTTGGGCTCAGGCAATCCACTCATCTTGGACTTCCAAAGCACGGGATTACAGGCTGAGCCACCAAGCCCGGCCGAATTCTTGTAATTTATTTAACATGTATACTTGTCATGTGCAAAATGACATGTTTACATTTATAGTCATTCACTGTAGCACTGTTTACAAAAGGTTAGGAAAATCCTAAATATCTACAAAGGGGCTGATTAAACAAAGTATATTCACTCAGTGTGAAATTATATAGTCATTAGAAAGAGGATGAAAAATTGCTTTAGGGACAATATGAGACAATCTTCATGATATATTAGGTAAAAAAGCAAAGGACAGAGAATATACACTATTTTACCATTGTATTTTTATTTTCTTCTGAAATGGGATCCTTACTCTATTGTCCAAGTTGGAGTGCAGTGGCACACTCACAGCCACCACAGCCTCAACCCATGGCTGATTTTTCTTGATTTATGGTAGAGACAAGGTCTCGCCAAGTTTCCCAGGTTGATCTCTAACCCCTAGGCTCAGGCAATCCTCCCAAAGTGCTAGGATTACAGGTGTGAGAAACCGCACCCAGCCTTACCAGTGTATGTTAGAAAATTACAAAAGAGCTGGGCTCGGTGGCTCAGCCTGTAATCCCGTGCCTTTGGGAGGCTGAGGTG